GACGTGAGATTTCATCACACTACTCAGACTTCACGCAATTTAAAACTTAGGAGCTGTGTATAGGGTGCCCCCCAAATGTATACACACTTTGAATAATTATTAATTCCAATGGGTTAAACCTGAAAGAGAGAAACATCAATTGAACTATCAGCTTTTAAAATGTGCATACATTTTTTGGGGTGACCCTGTATTTCTGGAATTTCCCACTTAATACTTTCAGACCGTGGTTGACAGCAGGTAACTGAAACCATGGAAAGCAAAACCATGCATAAGGGGGGACTACTGTGATGGGCTGTGCTGCGGCTGAACCCCAGCCAGGGCTCAGCATCCATTGCAGCATGAGGTAACCGGCCCCCCAGCTTTGGGGCTAGCGGGGTGCCGGGCAGTCGTGCTGCGGATGCCCGGTGACCCCTACACTGACGGCTCAGGGGCGGAGCTGGGAAGCCTTGCAGGTTGACATTCTCACGAGCTTGGGCAAGGTCTGCCTCCCCCAACGATTCCCCACTGAGAGCTGCAGTGCTGGAGGCTGAGAGGACCCTTTCCTTAAATTCACACAGACAGGGTGGTAGGCCACACCTGCTACCACACTGGCTTGTTTCCGATGCCAGTGCCCCTTTCGTCTGCCACGCAGCCCCTAGTTGGTCCCCAGTTCAATCTGGGGCCTTTGGCTCAGGAAATAGCTAAAGACGCCAACTGGTACTGAGTACGGACAAGTCATAATTTGGTCCTTATCCATGCACTCGGACATTCCACACAGACAAGTATAGAGGTGGGACGTTCCGACAAGTGGAATTCCTGGGCCAAGTGCTGGTGTGATTGGGATAGATACTGCTAAACTGTCTGTCATTGAGGCTGTGCCAAATACACTCAGAACCTTCGCCAGGGAGAACGGTTTCCTCACACCTTCAAAAATGAATGGTGTCACCAAACTTCTCAGTGTTTGCCAATCCCATGAGAAAAATAGAATCTTATCACAATTTTATCTTACATTTCCTTTTCCAAAATTATCACATACTCTGCTCATTTTTCTATTAAGTTGTTCTTTTTCTTGATAATTTCCAAGAGCTTTACATGTATATGCACATATATATAGAGGCCCGGTGAATGAATTCATGCACGGGTGGGGTCCCTAGGTCTGGCTGGCCATCAGGGCTGATCAGGGCCAGGCTGATTGGGGCCTGCTGGCCGGGGGGGGCGATGGGGCATGGGAGGTTGGCTGCTGGTTCCAAGGAGGGAGCTCAATGGGAGGGCTGGGGGAAGGTTACCGGCCCTGAAGAGGGAGCTGGCCCTTGGCCCCTCTGTGTCCACTGCCACCCACCTCTGGTTCCCTGCCCCAGCCCAGGCCCAAAGGCCCCTGCGGGATCAGGAGAGGAGGCGATGGTTGCTGGGCCGGGTGCAGAAGGAACGGATGCTGGACACCGACGCCACCATCAGTGCCCTACCACTGCGCAGTTCCCGCCTCCCCCCTCCTCCTTCCCTCTCTGCTGCAAAACCACCACGGTGGGTGGGTGGTGTGCTGATCGGGGCTTGCCAGCGGGGGACTGCGGGAGGTTGGCTGTGGGAGCACACTGACCACCAGGGGGGAGCTCCGGCGTTGAGCATCTGCCCCCTGGTGGTCAGTGCGCATCACAGTGACTGGTTGACTGGTTGTTCCAGTCATTCCGATCATTTGGTTGTACTGATCATTTGGTCATACCGGTTGCTTAGGCTTTTATATATATAGATAAATAATGTGCATATTGAAATTAAGTTTGTTGTTTATCTTATTTATGTAATTTTTTTTCAAAGCAGGCTTTTTTTTACTTTTATGTAATATACAGATTTAGTCTGTTTCTGCAGAATATTTCATGTCATTGATGGAAGCAGGTGCCAGCACCTATCACTTTAATTCTTGTTGTCTGAAATAGTTGGTAGAACTAATCTCATTTTATTACTTCTTTTTCAATATTTTTTTCTAGCAATTCTAGTATTCTTAATTTTCCTTAAGAACTTCAAAATAAGCTTTTTTTGGTAAATATATTTTTATTGATTTCAGAAAGGACTGAATAGGGAGAGAGAGAATTGAACCATGACCTCCTGGTTTATAGGTCGATGCTCAACCACTGAGCCACGCCAACTGGACAAGGTTGTTGTTGTTGTTGTGTGTGTGTGTGTGTGTGTGTGTATGTAAAAATCCAGTTGCAATCACTGGGATTACTTTAAATTTCTAGAATAATGTAGGGAGAATACATAATTCTATCAATTGCTTTTTTACACTTGCTCAGGTCAGAACCTTGGAGTCATTTCTGATGCATGTCTATTTCTCCCACACCCTTTGATTCATCAACCAGGGTGTGGGCCGGTTTAAGCTAAACACTGTTGCAAGCAACTACCTTTGTGGGGTAGGAGTCAGTGGGAAGAGTGTGGCAGAGAAAGTGATCTTTTTATGGTAAAAGCCATGTAGAACTATTTGACTTCTAAGACTACATATATGTACGACTTTGATAAAAATAACAAATAAGGAATTTAAAAACATTGACATACAAAAGAAAAATATAGAAATGAAGGGAAATTTAACAGAAGGCATTTGTCAGCGTGTCGTGGGAGTTACAATTTTCTCTAGCAGATGGTTGGCCACTGGTATAGCCAAACCCCCTGATTTCTGTTACCACCAAGGTTCTAAATGACCAGCACCCATCAATGTAAAACTACTTCTGAGCAGCCCCTGGAAGGTAAGGAATGTTCTAGTGTAGTCCGTGTTGGTCAAGTGAAATGGCAAACTGGCAAATTCTAGACGGAGTGCTCTTTAGAGAAACAGAACAGAGGAGGAAACGGTTTCAACTTTCGTGTGTGAAAAAAGTAATAGGATTGGGTAGAATTTGAAAATAGTGATTTTTAAGATGACAACAGTCAAAAGAATGTAGACATTAATAAAGTGTTTGCTTCCAAAGAAACTTCAGTGGTTTTATTTTCCCAGGATACAAGGGTCCAAACCCCCGCATGTCCCTTCACAGCTAAGGTGACAGTCATTCAGAATAATGCCCCCCCCCTCCCCCCGCCGGCCCCCCGGAAAGCCAGGGCTCAGTTTCACTTTGCAGCAGGAGCAGGAACGAAGTCTCAGTCCACACAGTGAGGCTTACCCGCTGGAAGTGCACATAGTGAGGAAACCTTTCTCCTTGTCTCTTTCTGTACTCCAAATTAAACAATTAAACAGTCCTACTATCAAACCATCAGCGCTTTCCTCCCTAAGTGTCCTCCTTTTGTAAGTTGCGCTCTCTTTTATTGATGGAAAAAATTGGGCAAAGATGGGTTGTTCCTTAAAATATCGATAGTGTCCCAACAGGCCAAATATTTGTGGGAGCCAAAGAAAGGGGCATATGACAGGTCCAGAAGGCCTCATAGAACATACAACTTCCCAGACATCAGCAGCAAAAGAGAGAAATGGGCAGCGGAAATATTTCCTGTTTGGTCACCACCATCTGACGATTTTGACAATTTGGGAGCTGGATTTATATAGAAAACCCAGGAAGAAAACAAGTATTCCTCTAGAAATGGGATAATTGAACTAATTTTATAATTCTTGGTCCCTATCCGTAAGAGATTAGCTATTAAAATTATTTATTCAGGCATTAGCTCTTAGATGTTCTCAGTTCTTCAGTAAGCAAAAACTGTCAGGCAAGGATTTTCATCATTATAAGTCGCTGAAGGATCCTACTCAAAATCAGATGTTTTGCTCCTCTCCCATTACACTACGCAATGTAGCTTTACTGAATTGGTCTTTGGGAAAAATGCAAAATCAATGATTAATGTTCCTGACATGTTGAACAGCACGTGTTGCATTTCCAGCCCACAACCCGGGTGTATACTGACAGGGAATCGAAATGTGACCTCCTGGTTCATAGGTCGACACTCCACCACTGAGCCATGCTGGCTGGGCCTGACACACACACTTTAGATCATACATATATCACTTTGTTGTTGTTCTATCGCTTAATGAAAACACACAAGGTCCAGGAGGGGCACACTGTAGTCGGAGCAGAGCTCTGTGAAGGCACGACCCACCCAGCTAATCTAAAATGGGGGGCTTGTGAGAAAGGATGCGGAAGGACGGACGTGCTAATGCTATGATCAAAATAAGAGCGAGTCCAAAACCCGATTCCATTCCGCAGGACATTTATACACTGGGCAAGCAATGCTTCATCTGCAGCTTGAATGTCAATTCTTTTTCATTTTGATAAGTTCTACTTGGTTCTTTTCCAAATCTACTTGATAACTTTAATAGCTTGTTGTTCCTTACTCAATCTCTTCTGAATAATTGAGTATCTACTCTTGAGGCTCTTACTTCCCCTATTTCTTCTCAGCAGGCTCTCACAGCGCCTGCGTTGGTGCGCTGTGGGCTGTGACTGTGAGAACACAGTCCCGGACTCTATGGTCGGGCTTCCTCGGAAGGTGGGTTCTTCCAGAGAGAATTTGCGGTCGTTTCTATGGTGTCCAGGGCGCTAACCACTTGGTGCCACTTCAAACGGAAATCCCAGCTTGAGGTTTTTGTTTGTTTTCTCAGATGGTCTATATGGGGAGGAATCTGGGCTGAAATTCGTGAGAGGCACCCTGTTATAAGTGGTCAGGAGAGTACACGCATGCATATTTACATTTTACCCCTCCATCAACAAAATTCAAGATGGAAGCTTCCCTCGGGGGACAGTGCTCAGCCTCAAGCAGGGAGGGTGGTGTATGTGTGATCCCTCACCCCCGACTAACCCTGGACTTCACCTCTTGCCTCTGGGCCCCTGAAGCTTGAAAACAAAAGCTGTCCTTAACCTCAAGGGTCCAGCTTTCACTTAATGTTTTATGTCTGGGTACTCCTTACCTTCCCATCAGCTCATTTAAAAAACATTTTTTTAATCCAATAGCTTGAACAGTTTCTAGTAGGAGGGTACACTTTGCACTCTAAGACTATGCACGTTTACAAAATCAACAATTCTCCCTCAAGTCATTTGAAATAAAATGTAGAAACACCATTGTGTGTAGTCCAGATTTTATTGCTTGTTAATTATGCCATTCCATACAACTTTAAGTAAACAGTTTGAGAAAATATACTGGGAGTGTTGAACAGTGATGGCACTATTGATGAGAGAATGTTCAAGAGTCACATAAGGAGGTAAGAGGCACCAGTGCCACCATTGCCTCCCGGGATCTGTACATGTCATATAAAAAGAGTAAAAATAGTTCATTGGCATTTTACTAGCGTTATTCTTTGCAATCTATGAACTGTGATAAGCTTGAACAGTTTCAGACTCTTCGGAGCAAAACAAAGGCTTTTCTTCCACTAGCAGATGTAGTAGCTTCTTTAAAAACAACAGACAAATCAACACAATAAAAAAGTACGAACACAACCCCAAAACGAAGTCGGCATATTTCAGTAGCCCTGAATTTAATGTTTCTATTGTATTCCTCTATATAAAAGCCCAATATGCAAACTGTCCCCTTGGGAGTTCGACTGCTCGCTATGATGTGCGCTGACTACCAGGGGTCGGCGCGGAACATGGCGGGCGGCAGTGGAGGTGCTTATGACCCAGATGGGCCTCAACGAGAGCGGGACCAGGGCGGGATGGTGAAGCAGGTGAGTGGGCGGTGCCAGGCCAAGGCGGGTGTGAGCGGGGGCCCAACTGCCCTGCCAATTGCCCCGCAGATGGCAACCAGCAGCAGCGGTGGCAGGGGCTTGACCCGGACCGATCGCCCCGCAGATGGCGACCAGTGGCGGCGATGGGGGGTGGGGCTGCTGCCTGGCTCCCAGGGGCTGATGGAGCCGGGCGGGGTCCCTGGCCCCGACAGATCACCTTGCAGGCAGGATGGTGGAACAGGTGAGGGGTTGGCACCAGGCCACGGTGGGGTGCCAGGTGGGGCTGCGGGGCTGCGAGGCTGGGGGTGCGATCTGGGGCCCGATTCCCGCAGGCCACCCTGAGGGACCCCACCTGTGCACAAATTGTGCACTGGGCCTCTAGTTTCAAGAAATAAAATGCTACTCAGCTTTTAAAAATGAGGTTAAGTTTCTTCACCATAATTATAATTGCTTCATAATTTAACTGAAGCCAGTGTTAGCTCAGTAAAAACCATGAACACAACTCAAACTGCTCTTATGCTAAAGAAACTTTTGAAAACCATAATTGTTCTTCAACAACGCAGACCCACGCTACACAGTGCAGCTGAGGAACCAGCAACGTCTCTTTGGGACCCTGGAGCAGCAGCCCTAAGTATTTTTAAAGCTGGGAGCAGAAACAGAGTCACTGTAAAACGCACAAAGGCATCAGTAACCCCCTGGAAAAATTGCACTAACGGTTTCCTCTTTTAATGATTAAAAAAACAATCAAGCATGTACTACAGTTCAGCATTTGAAATACTCCTATTATTACGACGATGCGCGGGGTGAGAAATGCATTTGAATACTTGGAACAAAACATGGAACATGGTTGTATGCTAAGTCATTTACAAGACCTCAGTTACCAAACAACAAAAGATATACGATAGCAGATAAACAGGAATTTATTAAGACCACTGGCTCCAACAATACAAAAATTAAAGATTAAGGCATCTTGTACTCCTGTCTTGGTAGTGCAGGGAAGAGAAACGTTTAAATTGGAACCAGCACTTCTGTTCAGATGCTGTCTGATGTATGAGACAGATCCGTTTTTATATTCTCCTCTTCCACACACCATGGAAAGCTCTCATGATCAAACATCATGACCCAAACTGAGAGGAAAGCATAAACCAATATTCACTTATTACAGGGAAGAAGTTCACCCTGGGGTGGGGGTGGGAGGCATTACAAAGAATGTTATGTGTAAAGCTCAAATACCAGGATTTAAGTTTCTCTGAGGCAAGTTATGCCTCAGTAATGGGGAGAAAGAAGAGATGAACACTTGATTAAGAGAAGCTTATGAATCTGGATCATGCTTCAGAATAATTGTCCACTCAGTGCTCATTCCCTGGGACAGGAGTTTTGGAAAAGTCTTAAAAAAAAAAAAAAGTAATCACATCCACTAGCATAAGATCATATAAGTTAACACTGATTACTTATTATTCCCCTTATTCCACTGACAAACCTCAAAAGGCTTCCAAAGTATATTAAACAGTAACATTTCACCTTTTATTAAGGCAAGTTTGTGAAAATAATTTAATACAACCAAATCTCTTCATGAACTTTCAGCTGAAAACATTTTTATGTAAGAAACATACAAAAAAATTGTTTTATAAAAAGCCACCTCAATGCCAGAAAAGAGTGACGAGTTTGAACCCAGTTTACTTTTTAAGGATGTTCTTCCCTTGTTTCCAATTCCAAGTGCTATTCATCATCTTTAGTGCCACTTTTGCTTAACTATGAAAAAAGATAAAAGAAATATTCAACAAGTTTAAGCTATCATATTGAATTATTTCCACTTCGTATCAAAGGTAAGCATTTACAGCTCCTGGAACCAGAGACAGCGAGGTTTGGGAACTTAAACCACCTCCAGCTTCCACCCCCTATTTTTGTATTACATACTAGAAGCACAAAGATTATTTCAAACAGTTTTTATGGAAAAGGCATCCCATGGCCCAAACAGCTGACTTTAAAATAAACTGTAAGAATATGCCCATTAGGTCCTAACTAAAACACTATCTTTAACTCTCCTTGGATCATATTAGTTAGGTCTTACAAGACTGGCACTGTGTTAGGTATCAGTTCAATACATTTGAAGCTACAAATTCATGCAAGAAAAATACTAAGAGTAGTTGGCAGAAAAATTCAAAGTGGAAGTAAACAATTTAAAACAACAAAAACAGAAAATCTTTCTTGATAACGATAGGAAACTACAACTATGGTCTGACCTAAGTAAAATGCCCAATTTCTCCTAAAAAATCAAAGCATATCTTCCTGTGATGTGTTTCTTCAGTTTCCATACCGTCATTAATTACAGTCATAGTTAAGCAAGCCCATTCTATGGTGTACGTACACAAACATCATGCCTCATTGCAGCTAAAAATACTTACATGCTGAGTGTAGGAGAGGAAACAGACGTCCCAGGGAAACCCAGAGGCGGGGGAGAAAACGGGAGAGAAAGCGTCAGTACTGATGGCAATGCCATAGGGCGTGAGGCGGGAAGTAAGGATTGTGTACCTTCACCACGTCCACCCAGTTCCAGCCTCGAGGGAGCTCCCCTTTGTGATCTAGAGGAGAAAAAACAGGAACTTTGTTTCTAAGACCAATCAGTGATTTTTAAGTGAATATTCGAATACATAGGACGTAGACCCCATTCTGCACAGCAGATGAAGTTTAAGTTACGTATTGTCACTGTGCCTGGAAGCAGTTTCCTGGGCGCACAGTCAAGAGCGTCAGGTGTGTTCTCTGACAGTCCCCTAACTTCATTCTAGACAAAACCTGGTCTCGGGGAAAAGTACGGAGGTGAGCGGGTAATGCCAGGAAGAGAAACCAATCCACTTGTCAGCTCCAAGGACTGGCTCAGAGAACCTGCTGCTTTCACAGGGCAAGGCGTAGCTCCGCGAGAAGCTGTGTCGCTACTGTTCCATGTGCCAGTGCTTCACTCCAGGAAGCTGGGCTCAAGGCAAGAGGCCTCACAGACAAACGTTTGGCTCAAGATTAAGAGGAGGCCTGGTCAACTTACCAACTCCTGTGTCCTGATAAAATGGTCACTTAATCTGACATTTTTAAACAGGGCTTTAATCTGTTGGGAGTGCTTAAAGCAGGCTGGACTTTTATATAAGAATTTACAATATGTAAAGTAAAAAAATTTCATTCCTTTAATAAAATATTCAAATTTAAAGAATTCTATCTAATAAAGAGGGAATATGCTAATTGACTCTCACACTGTCGCAAAGATGGCGGCACCCACAGCCAATAAGGAGGGAATATGCCAATTATTGCCCCGCCCTCAAGATGGCGGCACCCACAGCCACAAGATGGCGGTGCCCAGTCCCTTCAGCCCCGCCAGGGCGGCAGGTGCCCCCAGGCAGGCCCAACCTTGCTGCCCACGTGCCTCCGGAGTCCCCCAGTCCCCTCAGCCCCCAGCTTCCCAGGGCCGCCTGAGGCTCAGGTAACCAGGGCCAGCGAGGCTTGCGCTGCCAGCAGTGGCAGCAGCAGAGGTGTGATGGGGCGTTGCCTTGCCCTGATCGCCAGGTCGCCTCCCACCCCTGAGGGCTCCCAGACTGTGAGAGGGGACAGGTTGGGCTGAGGGAGCCCCCCTCCAGTGCATGAATTTTCATGCACCGGGACTCTAGTGGTTTAATAGATACACTTAAACATTTTTCAATTTAAAATGGCTTGATTTCCTTTATGCTTGATATATTTGTATGTCTCATTTTAGAAAATGTACAAAAATCTGTATTTGAAACAAGTACATTAATTTTATAGCAAGAGAAACAGAAAGCAAGCCTTTGATGATTACAGGAGAGAAGCAATATTACTGGGGCTCAATTTTATTTTTTTTTCCATTTTTTTTTTTTATTATTAGTTAAGGTATTACAAATGTGTCCTTATCCCCCCCCATTAACCCTCAACCTCCCCCCGCACACACACTCATGCTCCCATTCCCCCTGTTGTCCATGTCCATTGGTTTGGCTTATATACATGTATACAAGTCCTTCGGTTGAGCTCTTCCCCTTATCCCCGCCCTCCCCTACTGCCCTTCTGGGGATTGATAGCCTGATCGCTGTTTCTCAGTCTTTGGGTCTGTCCCTTTTCATCAGTCTATGTTGTTCTCTATAATCCACAAATGAGTGAGATCATGTGGTATTTATCTTTCTCTGACTGGCTTATTTCACTTAGCATAATGTGGGGCTCAATTTTAGATGCTAATGGTTCTTTTCTCCTTCATGCCAAGAAGAGTCTTATCCCCCCCGATTCCTGGTTAGAAAGGAATGGAGGCAGCTCACCAGGCTTGGGAACCAAAACTCACTCACAGTGCCAGCCATGGCTGTCCCCTTACAGCTCTATTTACAATGTGAGCTCCAAGCCACAAGCCCCTGTGCTGTAATCACAGGGAGATAGCGGCTTTTAGGCGGGCATCATCAAGGAGACGGAGGTAGGGTACAGTAAGAAAAGGGAATGAGGAAATATTTTCAATACATGTCTGTGCCCTGACAGTCTCTGATCCAACTGTCCCCAGAGTAAAGAGTGGAGACTAATCCTCTAAATGGAAACATAGTTATTAAGCACCGACAGCGCAATAAAAAGCAATGCATTCCTTTATGTCATAAAAAGAAAAAACAAACACAAACCTGTTTTATCTGCCAGCTTGCGTTTCTGGGCTTTTGTAAGCTGTTCCTTCTTGTCTTTTTTCTTACTGGATGGGGCTACATTAGGAGTTTCAACTGAGAGGATATTGCTTATGGATGCCTAGGGGAAAAAAAGAATTCTTAGACCCATGTCTTAAGCTTATTGAATTACACAAAATATGGCTACATCCTGAAACAGGTTGATAATTTTTAGATTTATGAAGTAAAAGAAACCTCCACTGTTAGATTCGTTTATTAGTCGGACGAACTAGTGTACTGGATTCACTAGAATGCACACTGATGGGCACAATACTAGTGCAACTTTTGCAACCAGGACCCTCAGCAAGAAGATCTGACACCAGCATTATGCAGAAGCTCTGAAGTTCCATGGTAATTTTACAATTTAGTTAATTTGCTATTATTTGGAAATTTAAATAAGTCTTTAGAAAAATACTGAAGAATACCCTACTTCCCTGAAATGAAGGAAATATTTAAAATACAGCTGGGCAAACTGCTTCTCCAGCTGTCTCTCAGTGTTCTGTGCTCTGCTGGGCACGTGGAACCCAGAACCGCTCAAGTGCAAGACGTGGCCTTTGCTGTCAGTGTACAGCTTGGTTCACAGACAAAACTCAGCACTGACCACAGACACTTTTTAGCGCCGGACCTGGTGCAAAGGGGCTAATACACAGATGCTCATGGTCATCAAAGATGCTTCTTCCCTAAAATAATTCTAGAAAAAAATGTATACTTTTCCCATACAATAAAGTCTCCTTAAACTGCCATACCTTCAAACTGACCTGTGGCAAGACCATTTACAATGAAATAATCCTCATAAAAAATGTCATACATATTTTAGCTCTACGTAAGAAACCCCCTTTCTGAGTTTTATGAGGAAATAAACTTGAAAATATGGATTCTACAATATCAATTTTGGTGGGTACATGAAGTATTCTAGTCTTATAGGAAGGGTAAAATCTGGAGAGTAAAACTTTTAAAGTTACATGGAAGGTAAGAAATCTAAAATTCATTGTTCTTATTTAACGCAGATATAATTCACTTTAAACCAACAATCTCTTTCCAATTAAAAAACTCGTTCAAATTAACTACTAACAGTGAAATCGAAACAATAAGAAAATCTGGCAAAAACAAACGGCACACTCACCGCAGAGTTCACGGGATGGTGATTCTCCATGAACTGCTCTTTGTTGTCCTTGGCGTACTCGAACAGCGTGTAGGTCATGGCGGTGCCGAGGTTGGCTTCCACCGCTTCCTGTAACTTGGCTAATATGCTCTCCTTCACGGCTGAGGATCTGGAATGCACGAGAAATATACTGTTAGCAGAAAAGCAAGAGTGTAAAAAAACCCCAATGAAAACAAAACCCTACTCACATGGTGTTGTTGAAGAAAGCGTTCATGGATATGATTGGAGGGGTCTGGGGATATGTTTCTGTCCAGGAAACCTCTATGAGGAAGGCTTTGGGATCACCATTTTCACCTATCTGAAGAAAAGGGAACTCTCAGGCTTGTAAAAAATGATGCAGACAGAATATTTAAGTATGATCTTTAGAATGAATCCCTTCCAATGCTCATGGTCAGGTCAGTGGTTAGAGCAACAGCCTGCACACCAAAGGTCATGGGTTCGATTCCTGGTCAAGGGCATGTACCTGGGTTGCAGGTTTGACATCATCCCTTGCGTGCCCCCCCACCCCTCACTAGGGAGCATGCGGGAGGCAACCAATTGATGCCTCTCTCTCTCTCTCTCTCTCACCCCCTCCCTTCCACTTTCTCTAAAAATCAATGAAAAAAATATCCTCAGGAGAGGTTTTAACTAACTAACTAAATAAATAATTGATGTCATGGTGATGTGTCTTCATTTAAATGCTTCAGAAAATCCCAAAACATGATAAATCCAAACCACTAAATTTAAAAACAAAATCAGCATTTATAGCAACCTTTAGTCTTCTTTAGTAAAGTAGTAAATGCTCCCACTCATGTCATGTCTTACCCTATATTGAAATGAAACTGGACTTAATTCCCGGAAACTTTCATCTCCTTCATATATAGAACGTAATGCTTCCAGTTCCATCTGAAAGAAATGAATCAAGTGCATTTTGTTTAGTGGTACAAAATGGGTTAGAAATAGAGGGTCTGATTCAAGCCCACTTCACTATGTAAAAGTTGACTAACGTATTTGGCCTTAGATGTTTATAATATACACTAGGGGCCCGGTGCACGAAATTCATGCATGGGGGTGGGGGTGAGGGGTGGGTCCCTCAGCCCGACCTGCACCCTCTCCAATCTGGGAGGCCTCAAGGGATGTCCTACTGATGGCTTAGGCCTGCTCCCCGTGGTTCTCTGCTCTCTGAGGACCTGCTTGATGCCACCATGGCCAGGGGCAAGCAGGGCCCTGCCTTCTGCTCGCTTGCTGCGGGGGACGTTCCCGCCCTGGCCCTGGCCGCTGCCAGCTCAGAGTGCCTGGGGATGTTCCCGCCCCAACTCCGGCCACTCGGCGCCTACACATGCAAATTAAACCACCATCTCTGTTGGTTAGTTTGCATACTTACTCCTGATTGGCTGGTGGGTATTGCAAAGTGACGGTCAATTTGCATTTTTCTCTTTTATTAGTGTAGATGGACATGCCAACACAACACAATAATACTGATACTAATCGCCCTGACCGGTTTGGCTCAGTGGATAGAGCATCGGCCTGCGGACTGAAGGGTCCCGGGTTCGATTCTGGTCAAGGGCATGTACCTTGGTTGTGGGCACATCTCCAGTGGGAGGTGTGCACGAGGCAGCTAGCTGGTTGATGTTTATCTCTCATCGATGTTTCTAACTCTCTATCCCTCTCCTTTCCTCTCTGCAAAAAATCAATAAAATATATTAAAAATACTGATACTAATCCTTCAAAACTATGTGCCACGCACTGCAAAGCATTTGACAGTGTGTTACCTCACTTAATTCTCACATCAGTCCGTGAAGAAAATCTCACTATTTTCCCCTTCCAAACATGGGTGGGGGATAAGATTAGGTTTAAAGCAACCCCAGAGCACATGCCTTCATCACTCTGCCAAAGAGTAGCTTGGACAGAAAGAGGGTGAAAAAGCATTACTTACAATCTTATACTTGTGACCCTCCCCACAGAATGATATACAACTTGTAAAAACACTGAAGGACAGTAAGAAGAACAGTAAAACATTTAAGGACAGAAAAAGGTTGGCAAAGACCTACCCAAGATGGGAAAAAGGGTAGGAAGAGTAATCCCTGCCTGGAAATGTGTCTTAGGACCGTGTGGCTTAGAGGAGAAGACTCGCTGCTGTTATGGTTACTGGTGAACACTTGAGAAGCAAGGAGAGACTGCACTTGGATACATATTTTAGTTTAAAAAAACACGCAAGTCATGAATTCTACAAACTAAAGATGGGCGGATCTGATCTATGTGGACATTTTAGAATAGGTTATTAAAGAAAGTGGGTTTTTTTTTTTAATTATTGATTTCAGAGAGGAAGGGAGAGAGAGCTAGAGAGATAGAAACATCAATGATGAGAGAGAATCATCGATCGGCTGCCTCCTGCACGTCCCCTACGTGGGGTTGGGGCGGGGGGGGGGGGTCGAGACTGCAACCAGGGCATGTGCCCCTGGCTGGAATCGAATCTGGAACCCTTCAGTCCACAGGCTGACGCTCTATCCACTGAGCCAAACCGACTAGGGCTAAAGAAAGTGTTTGAGAGTAAGAAGTCATTCCTAAGACCTAGCAAGCACATGAAAAACAACGTCTGTGTCAACAGCCCTTCCCAGAGAGGGTCACCTGATTACAGGAAGGCCCCACAATTTCTCTTGCTACTTTCACAGAAATTCAAACTAGAGTCAAGAATAACTAAGCAGCACCCTGGCCAGTGTGGCTCCGTGGGTTGGAGGATCGTCCGTACGCCACAAGGTGGTGGTGGGTTTGATGCCCAGGTCTCAGATCCGTCCCCAGCCGGGGCGCAAGTGGGAGGCAGCCAACCAATGCGTCTCACATTGATATTTCTCTTTCTCTCGCTCCCTCCCCACTTTTTCTCCCTAAATGTCAGTAATAATAACAACAAAAAACCCCCACTCAGATTAGATTGGAACAAACATACTCAAAATGTAGTGCTACTCTGTGGATCATTCAGCCTTTCTATATTTCCACTATTGACCTGGACAGGCACGACAGCTGAGGGCAGCCCTGCCAACTTAGCGGTGACAATTCGATGGGACAGCGAATCAGGCAGGTAGCAGGACGAAAATCCAGACAGTCCTTGCCAGACAAGTTGGCAGGGTGACACTGGGGAGGGTAAAGTCCTCCGAGGGCGAAAGGCCAAGGGCACTGCATAGACTAGAGCCATGGCCGGCCAGGGTTAGCTGACCATAAATCTAACTGCAGAGGACTGTGCCCCACCACTGGGAAACAGGACCCAGACAGGCCTGTCATCCGCCCACGAACACACGAACCCAGGGGATCTTAAAAAAATGGACACCTAGACAGGCTCAAATAAACCCACCAAATGGCCCACGGGCCAGACCTGGAGCAACATCACACCCTGCGCTCCCGGCTTCCCAGTGAGAACTCTCCATGCCTTGGCTTAGAGCAGCGGTGCTCAACCTGTGGGTCGCGACCCCTTTGGGGGTCGAACGACCCTTTCACAGGGGTCGCCTAAGACCATCGGAAAACATATAATTACATATTGTTTTTGTGATTGATCACTATGCTTTAATTATGTTCAATTTGTGACAATGAAATTGGGGGTCACCACAACATGAATAACTGGATTAAAGGGTCGCGGCGTCAGGAAGGTTGAGAATTCCGCTGGCTTAGAGGTTCCCCTGGCAAGAATATCTCAGGAAGGACCCAGGCGCCCGCTGGCTAGCGATCCACAGGCTCCATGGCCTCCATGAGGCACAGGCGCTAACTCTCCTCCACCGGGTTGTGAACGATTAAGGGCTCCTGGTTGTTTCGGAAACTCCGATCGGTCCTGACTGCCGCGCCGGGACAGCTGCTCACGCCTCCATAGACCTCTCTCCACCCGCCCCATCACAAAATCAGAAGCACCTCCCCACCCCCGCCCCGATGACACGGGGCATCCCCTTCAACGGGGTGTGTGTTTAGAATCCACAACTGCCAGATGGACAAGTAATTCCACTCAAGAACCGGCCAGACCCCGGGGACACCGGCGTTATGTTTCCCTCCATCAGGGATTGAACTCGGCCACACGCCCGTAGGTGTGAGTCAGAGGCGATCGGGCTCCATCAGGCACAACTCAGCCCACAAGCGTCAACCGTGCGGACCCAGGACACGCATCCCCGCCGCCGGGGAGACGGGGCGACCCCGGGCCGACCAGACGGA